ATACAGTTGGTCGTCTATTAATTAACGCTATACGCTCAAGCAAAAATTCATACATTCAAACAATACGATAACACAGCTGATAAGTACTTTGAGGTAATTAATTGTGAGTTCTAAAGACATATCATTCTATTATTATTATTATTAGTTGAGAAGTTGTTGATTTTAACTCACGCAAAACTGTTTTTTTTAATTTTGCAAAAAGTGCCAATTAAATAAGTTGCGTTTTTAAAAGATAATCGTGTCATGATTTTGTTCTAAATCGTTTTTTTGATGTTTTACAAGCACTTTAGTTCCTTGTTATTTAACGCTATACATTGGAGCTGAAATGTTTACTTATACTATGCATATTTAACGTTTCGGTAACACAGCTGATACGCTCATTTTGTTACATGTATGTAAAGAGATGCTCGATTGAATTTATTTTATTAATATTATTATTACCCAGAAGTGTCAAAATTTTGAAAAAAAATCAATTTCGTCGTAATCAAGTGCGTTTAATTTTTGCTTAGATTTGTTTGGAATGGATAACTTCAGTCTTGCTGATTGTTAAATTTTTCACAGGCTGTTCCAAAACTTAGTTCCGACTTCCTTGGCCCGACAATTGTCACGTGGTCAAAACTATTTCCACTTGTTTCAAAAAAACAATGAATAAAATTTTAACGAAAGGAACTCCGAACTAAGTTTTGCAACAGCCTGTATCTAATTTTGTTTTGATTATCAGTTCATCTTCACACTTATTTTTGTTTTCAGACATTTATAAAACTTTTATTTTATTATTACAAGCTGTCCCAAAATTTAATTCCGAGTTCCTTGGCCAGAAACTATTTATATAATTTTATCACTTGGTGAAAACGACTCCTGTTTTTTTTTTTGTAAGAGTTTATATTTTAACGCAAGGAAGTCCGAACTGAGTTCTAAAACAACCTGTATCTAATTTGGGGTTAAATTTGGTTTGTTTTTTTAATTTTGGCTAAAATTTGAACGGTAATCAAGAATTTTAAATTATTTTCGAAAAAATTAAATTTTACTACTTAAAAAACTGAGGTAAATGTAGTAGCGTCTTTTGAAATAAATATACATATTTTTCTGAGATCATTTATTAAGTTAAAACTTAAAACTACATTTAGGCAAATGTTATAGATTTTATAATAAATAATATTATTATTATTATTTTGTTTTAGGCTGAAAAGTATATAAATGGCAAATTTTGAATGTTTGACTAAAGTTTAAAACATAAATGTGGATTTACAACTTGAGGCCTATTATTGTAAAACAAAAGAAAAGTGTAAATGCAACATTTCCAAATTTTGTAAAATGTGGATTATTTAATAGAAAGTATAACTCCTCATTGTAAAATTTTCTACTGTAAAATACACTGACAAGACAGAATTTAATATAAGAAAATATTTTGAAATTTAGGCGAAGAAAAGCTTTTAATGGAAAATATGCATTTTCAAATTTTGTAAAATAGGCTAATTCTGTCATCATCAAGTTAGGGACAATGTTTGAAGCAAGATAATAAATTTGTAATTTATGAGTTAACAAATATAATATAAATTTTCAGTATTTGTAAAATAGGCGAATTTTATTAATATAATAATAAACGCTACTGTTTTAAAATAACTGTCTAATGGTGGTAATCTAAGTAAAATAAAGACGTTATTTTGTAGAAAAGATGGATTAGTGATGATGACTATTTATTTTTTTGATAAACCCTGCTGTGTAAAATATAAATTATATCGAACAAGTATAATTATTGTACTAGTTAGTACGTCATTTGATTAAAACAGAAAAATGTCAATTTAGTAGTGCAAAAAATGATTTTGTAAAATAGGCAACACCGCTAAAATATGTGTATATATTTGTTTATTTTTTGGATCAATTGTTTTAACTGGAATAATAGTATCGATTTATCCAACTGAAACATTTTCAAATTTTGTAAAATAGGCAAATTTTATTAATACCAGTCAAAATTAAATGATTTTGAGGAAGTATAAGCAATCTGTTATTTAATTGAAAAAATTATTCGGATAGAAGAAAAATAAAATTTGTAAAATAGGCAATTAGCGAAGCCAAAAATAACAAAAATAAATTTCGGTGCTATGAAAAACCGGATTTTGCAAAATAGACAACACACTATTAAAAACAAGATTGCCAATTTATAAAAAGAGCAGATAATAAAATAGGCTAGCAGCGATGTTAATTTGGAAAGTTTACACTTTGTAAAATAAGAGAATTTCTTTTAAAAGGATTTAGTTAACAGCGAAAAATGCTTAAAATAGCCGAACCGAATATATTTTTGTAGAATAGGCTAAAATTTGTAAAAATGAATAAATGCACGTTTTAGGGAGATTTTGGTAAAAAGTTTTGTAAAATGGTCTTGTAGAAAATAAAATATAAAAACTTGAATTTATAAAATCGTAAAGAATTCACTGAAGCATTAGCAAACTTTGTAAAATAGGCCAATTTTATTAATATCAGTCCAACTGAAATGATTTTAGGGAAGTATAAGTAACCTGTCGTTTAATTAAAAAAAAATACTATTTTGGACCGAATAAAAACAATATTTTTGTAAAATAGGCAATTGACGAGACCAAAATTTAAAAAAATGCGATTTCGATGAGATCAAAAAACAGATTTTGCAAAATAGGCAACACATTTTTAAAAACAAGATTGCTAATTGCTAAATAGGCTACCAGCGATGTCAAATTTGAAACGTTGACGCTTCGTAAAATAGGAAATTTTTTTAGAAATTTAATTACCGTCGAAAAACGATAATTTAAACAGGAACCGAATATATTTTGGTAAAATAGGCAAAACTTTGTAAAAATGAAGAAATGCACCTTTTAGAGAAATTTTGGTAGAAAGCTTTGTAAAATGGCCAGATTTTATATAATTTTATAGAAAATAAAATATAAAAAATGCAATTTGTAAAATTGTAAAGAATTCACTGACATAGTAGTTGAAGCATTAGCAAATTTTGAAAAAATAGGTCAATTTTATTAATATCAGTCAAAATTAAATGATTTTAGGGACGAAAAAATGCTAATTCGAACAGAATAAAAATAATATTTTGTAAAATAGGCAATTGGCGAAAGCAAAAAGAAAAAAATTGTGATTTCGGTGGGATCAAAAACCGGGTTTTGCAAAATAGGCAACACATAATTAAAAACAAGATTGCTAATTGCTAAATAGGCTACCAGCGATGTCAAATTTGAAACGTTTACACGTCGTAAAATAATAATTTTTTTTAGGAATTTAATTACCGGCGAAAAACGATAATTTAAACAGGAACCGAATATATTTTGGTAAAATAGGCTAAACTTTGTAAAAATGAAGAAATGCACCTTTTAGAGAATAATATTTTGTAAAGTAGGCAATTGGCGAAAACCGGATTTTGCAAAATAGGCAACACATAATTAAAAACAAGATTGCTAATTTGTAAAAAGCGCAGATAAAATGATAATTTAAACAAAAACAGAATAGTTTTGTAAAATAGGCTAAAATTTGTAAAAATGCACCTTTTGAAGAGATTTTGGTAGCGAAAAACAGGCTGCCAACATTATAAAATTTGAAAGTGTTTCAAGCTTTGTAAAATTGCCTAATTTCAAAAAAAAAAATATATGAGAACTCCAATTTATAACATTGTAAAAAATTCACTGAGATATTAGTTAAAACATCAACAAATTTTGTAAAATAGGCAAATTTGGTCAACATCAGACAAAATTAAATGATTTTGAGTATGTATAAGTAATCTGTAAGTATTTTTGGAAAAAATAGAAACGTTATTTTGTAAAATAGGCAGTAGGCGAGACCCAAAAAAACTATTAATTTGGGTGGGATCAAAACACAATTTTGTGAAATAAGAACACGCTTGGTAATTTGTAAAAAGGGCAAATAATACAAAACATATATTTACTTTCTTCACAAATCCTTATACTGTAAAATGAATGAATGTAAAACATTTACATTTTGAAAAGAAAAAAATGTTAATTTAAAAAGGACCCGAACGTAATTTTGTAAAATAGGCAAATATTTGTAGAAAATGGAAATGTTTATTTGTAAAGTGAATAAATGGGTTGCCAACAATATAAAATTTGAAAGTGTTTCAAAATTTGTAAAATAGGCCAATTTTGATAAAAAGAGAAAATTTCAATTTAAATGGAGTAAGCCAAATTTCGTAGGAAATGAGTAAAATATTTTAAATACAAGTTATATTTTGAACTAAACAATATATCGTAAAATAGGCAGGTTTTGTTTAGGTAATAGAAACTGTGATTATTTTAAAAGAGCATAAAGAGTGTGTCAACAATTTAATTAACACAGAAAAATGGCGATTTTGACAGAATAATTTGTAAAATGTGCAAAATATACACAAACATTTAAAAAACTAACGGCAACTTCAAATCAATTTTTCAAAATTTTGTTAAACAGGAAAGATACCTCTTTGTGACCAGTTGAAGTTTTATATTTTTATAGAAAGTTTGTGAATAAATTTAAAATCGGATTTTTATTATTTCGGAAACACAAATTAATTTTAGTATACACAAAATAGACGAAGACCAGGTTTTGCTGCAATTTTAATGGAATTTAAAAAACACAATTGTTTCGATAAACGTTTCAGCATAAATATTCAGTTACCAAACAGCATTTAATTTTGCATAAATTGTTCTAGAATAACCAAATATTGATTAATTTGCAGCGCAACAAGCTTTAAAAATTCAGCTAAAATGAGACCGGTTTATTCATTGTTTCGGGAAAATATTTGCCGCAAAATAGACATAACTCACAGAATTAAATTTTGTAATTTTGTTAAACAATCAGCTTCACACTTAGATAAGTCAGTCGCCATCGATTTTGGAAAAAGAACAAAAATTCTTTTACTAGTCGGCTATGTTACCTCACAGAACTTAATTTTTCTCTAAAATCCTGATAGTTAAGTTAAAACGTGTATAATTTTTATTTCTTTGGTTTAAAGCTTTCTCAATTTTTTTTCTCGCAATAAAAGGAATACATAAATTTTTTTTTTAATTTTTTGGAATTATTTTTCCGGTTTTTAGAAACTCTGACTATTAATCACTAATCAGCTGTGTTTTTTTTTTGTAATTTGTTTTACGACTTATATTTTTGTCCATCGCGGACTATATTATAGGGATTTTTTTAGAATTTCTCTTTCACTCTATCTCTCTCTCTCACACTCATACATTTCGTCCAGGAATGCAATCAAAACATAGTGTTAATAATGTAAATCCGGTTTTGAAAATTTCAGTCTTAATCGAATTTGTTTGTTTACTCATTCACCTATGCACAACCCAAGCAAAGCTCTTCTTTTCGCGACATCCCTTGATTTCCGCCGCAAAACATGAATTAATCAAGACGAAACTAAGTATTCGTTTTAATGCCTTCATCACTTTAATGCCTCATTTTACTACAGCGCCCGAAAATGTGTTCCATGATGAAAATTTCGCCCCGTCCCGCCCTCCCCGCGCCAAATTTGGGATTTTTCTCCAAAATCTCCATCCCAGTCGAATTCCTGAGCATTGATACGCCGTCAAACATAATTAAATTTCGCGAAACATTCTAACGTAATTTATAAGTCTCGCCAGCCATAAATTGCAAGGTAGAGCGTATTCTTAATGTTCGCGTTAGAAATCAGTGCAGAAATTAATGGGGTATTTTAGCAATTTAAGTTATGAATTATGCGAGGGGCTTCTTAGCCCATTACGGCGCTCCGGCGAAAAATGGAAAAAAGGAAGGGAGAGAAAGGGGTTTTTTGCCCCCTGCCCCTCGCCCGTTTCCAGGAGCGATGCCGTTATTAGAAAGCCAGTATTCTTCTTACAGGGGTAGCGAATCATTGATTTCTTACATTAAGCCACACCTCCTTATTCCCCCCCTTTTCATCCCCTCTGAGTCCAAGGAGCGTCCTAGGCTTCCCCTATTTCCAGGATATTCCGGCATCCCTCCCGCTTTTTCCCTCTTTCCTCCGCGATTCCTTGAAAAAGCTCCAAGAAAAAACGCCCATTCTATGCAAACGTGCGATGGTATCTTGGGTCGGCCGACCTGTGAAACGAAATCTGTCAGAATTCAAAGTCCCAACTCGTCACGCGTCAACACCAAACAATACTTTGAATTCTTCAGTAAGGTAATTTTTATTCGGTTTTCCATGGTCGGCGGCCGGACTTTTGTTTTTGTTTTAAAAGGGTTGTAGGAACTGGGCCGGCCGCTGAAATAATACGGAGAATTTCGGCTTTCGGGGCTTAACGAGCTTCCTGAAAAAGTGCGATGTAGACAATTTGCATAAATAAATAATAAACACCTGAGTTTTGCTGAAATAACATGCGGTTTTTTGGGAAGATGGCCGCCGAAAAGGCCTATTTCGCACTGAAATTAGCCTGAAAATTTTTGTATCTTTGTTGATACGATAGCTGTATTTTTCAAACTTGAATTTATTTTACCGGGTTTAGCATGAGGTGCTGAAATATCACAGTTGTTGACAGAGCTTTAACAAACTGAACCTATGCACTTGCCTGAATACCGTACTGACGATGATTTTGCTCAATTATAAATTTTCAGTTACCTGGTAGTGAAATTTTTTCAGTGACTGACGTTTCGTGTAATTTTTCTCCAAAAAAAACGCCAGTTTTTGGTTTGTTTATGTGCACATGTTCCTGATTTTTCGAAAATTTGTTTCTACATTCGCCACTTTACTGACATCAAAACGAAAAATACGCTCGAAATTCAATTTTGGGTAATTTTTGAAAATAAATTTGGAATTTAAAAACGGTCAGAGTGGCCAAAATGCAGACTCGTTAGGTTTGTTTTGGAGTTTTTAATATAAACTGAAATCTGGTCTGAGTCTTCTTTATTCTTTCGATTTGTTTTTAGGTTTTTAGTGAAAGTCAAAATTTCGGACTTCTATCATATCTGTGTCTGTGTTTTGGTTGATTTTTGGTGCGATTAGTGGTTGAGAAAGTTCCAGAAAGTGTAAATTGTCTTTTGAAGGAGCGTCTTGAAAGTCAAAATTTTTGGAAAAATAGTTTTTGGGTGATTTTTGGATTAAAGGCTTTGCGACGGCACATCTTTTTTAAATCTGTTTTTTGACTCAAAGTCCTGTGCAGTGACACTGGTTGAAAGTTCCGGGGATTTAGTTCAAAGAAATTAAATTTGGACTGTTTTTGAGGATTTTTGATCAGAACGCTGTGCATGGCGAGATTTTCGGTGTGACAGATATCGTGAACCGAGGACCTTTTTGTGTTGATTTTACTCTGAGGGTGTCTGGAAATTAAACATGTTTTTTTAATTTTGTGTCTGTTTTGAAAATACTGTTTTGAGTTCGCTGATTCAGTTCTAGAACAGTTTTTGTTTATTTGTGGACGAAAATAACTTTTGCAACAACACACATTTTGGACTGCCGGTATTCACTCACATCCAGAAGTTCTTAACATTTTTGGAAGTCACAGAGTTTTGGAATTAGTTTTCGTTGGAAAGTGCTTGTGTTTGTACTGTTTTGGAACCGCTGATACATTTTTGCCTCATGTGTTAATAATAAATCCAGTGGTTATTCAACTGTTTCTGGTCGGTTTCAGTATTTTTGGAATTTCGCCGTCTAAGTTTTGCTTTCCGTTGGTTCTCAACATTTTTCGAATGACTCAGTAGTAGTTCTAAAGTTTGCCACAATTGTAAATTTCTTGTTTCGATTTTTCAGGATGAAATTTCAGGGGTTTTGTGCGTGTTTTGAACGTGTTGTTTTAAAAGTCAATTTTTGACAGCCAATTTACAAAAAATAAATCCTGAGTGCCGTACGTCCTCGGTTCAACCACTTTTTGCGATACTTTTGACAATTAAAACAGTTTTGGGAGTGCTGACAATGGAAATTCGGTGGTTTCATTATGTTTCGGGTGCAACTAAATAAAAATTTCAGAGGTCCTAAACCAATTTTTCGTGCTACTTATGAAGGTGTTTTTGACGGGCCCGGCAACTCAATTTTGGTCGTTCCATCTGAAATTGTCGCATTCCTGAATTTATAAGTGCTCGGAAAACGAAAATTCGCTATTTTGACTTGTGTTTGAAATTTTGGTTGGTTTTAATTTTGTCATAGTCGAGTTTGTTTTTTCGGTTTTGTGTCACGCAAGAACTTTAAATTTGTTTAGATATTGCAGCAGTGCGTGCTTTTAGAATTTTAACCTGGACTTATAGATGAACGGAATATTTTTGAATTGTTTTCGAAAAGACAAATTTTGGAATTTTGCTGGTTTGCGTGAGATCATATTTCTGCTTTTTTTAATTTGGTGTATACTGGAACAAGTGAGTAAAAGTATTTCAGTGTTTAAAATTTGCTCCCCGGTGTCGTTTTTTGTGTTAAAATGACATTTTGAGTTCTGAATTTTGTGTTCAATATTTTTGAATATTCTTCTAAAACTCGTTTCTGCAGTGAGAAATTCAGCTCAGAAGAACTTGAAAAGGGATTTTGTATTTGTACGAATTATAGCACCACACAGTTTTTCACAATTTTTCAAAGGTTAACACCCACGCTGCAATTTCAAAGTGATAAAACTTATCCAGAAATCTTTAAAATATTGTCGGAAATAGTTACACTTGGTTACATGTATTCCATTCAAAATTCAGACCCTATTTGACGTTTCTTGGCAGTTAAAGACTAAAATCCGTTTTCTGTAAGTACCTGCAACTGAAAACCTGTGCGCTTTGTTTAAAAATTTTCTTCCCAGAGTGCGTAATTTTGAAAAATCACAATTTGGTGTAATTCGCCTGCTTTGTAAATTTCCAAAAACTTCGGAAGCCCGTCGCCCCTAGAAACAGCTGGGTTATTTGCGAAGAAACGTACACCTCCGTGTATTCGCTCATTTGTCGAATTTTGACCATTTTTGACAGTCGTATTTATCGTCCAAGTGAAAAGTTTCTAAATTGGTAAATTTGGATCCGTTTTTGACAGTCTTATCCATCGTGTGACTACTTTCCCAATGAAACATTCTTGTTTTGTGGATTTGTTAAATTTGGAACCCTTTTTTGACTATTTTCCGAATGAAAATTTTGCACCCATTTTTGACAGTCTTAGTGAAAGTGTGAATGAAAATTTATTGCAACTTCCAAAAAACGTACACCTCCTCGTACGCTGCGTTTCTCGTCCGGAATTTGTTGAAATTGGAATCCGTTTAATGAGTTGTGTTGATTTGCCGTGACTATGTTCCACTGCCGCCAACCATGGAAAACCGAATTGAAAAACCACCTTACCTTGGTTTGAGGTGCATGGCCGAAGTGAAAATGTTGTTACGAGGGTGAGTTTATCGCTGGAGGGTGGTCAATCTTGCCTTCCGACGGGTGAGTCCGATCCCCATCGTGGCGAGACGAACGCTTCCTTTTACATCCTGAAAAGAAAAAAACGCTCATTTAATTTTTGTTTTTATCCCCTCTGCAAAATTAATGACGTCGTCGCAAAAATTATTAAATAAGTATTGTAGAGTTTTGTGTTTTTTTTTCTGAAAATCGTCGATCGATTCGCCCCAAGGAAACGATTCAATTAAACAAAACAAACATCATCCAGAATAAGCGTTCGCGCCCCTTCCGTTCCCCTCTTTCCGAAGCCGACAAAAGATGAATAGAGCTTAGGCGAAGAAGGAAGAGGGGGCGGAAGAGGAACGGCAAAGATGTCAAAAACTTTGGCATTATGGATACCGTTTACGACATGATTTCGGCAAATGGCGTCGAGCAGCAAGCTCGTTATTTTCTTATCTTTTAATTTCCGTTTTAATATTACCAAAGTTTGTTGAACATCAACTTAAACTCGGCTCAAAACTAATTAAAATTTGAGTATCACGAGTCGAGTTTCTAAGTTTTACGCGAGTTTTACTTATTCATATCATAAATGATGGATGTTGTTCCGCAGACTCATCTCCCGCACATCCACCGCCCCTTTCCTTTCTCTCTTATTTCGGAGTCGGGCTCTTTGCGGAGATTTTATTGTGAACGGGGCGGTTTGCGAAGAAGTGATCGATTGGGGGCCGAGAGGCCGAAGAGGCGGCCGGAAAAAATGGGCACGTTTACACGGTGCGTCGAAGGGATGGGCGATAATGACGTCGTAAAACGACGACGGTGCCTTAAATCATCCCGGGTTATGAATGGCGGTCACGTTTGCTACTTTGTAGCGAGTGCACGGGGGCGGCATTGGAAGAAATCGGTGTGGGTGGGGGACGTGGACACATAGTCACTGAATTTGAAAAAATAATGCAGCCGAATAAGAGGAGGTAACGGAATAAATCCGGGCCTGAGTTTCATAGTCCTGGGGGACTTTGAGTCAATTTTAATTTATACAATAGTTTTCTCGTAATGCGGATGGATTTTTCCAAGACTTCATCTATAGACTGTACCAATTAGGCATATTTTTGGAGTTTAGTTGAGTTTAAATATAAAAAGTGCATAGAGATAGAAAAATGTTCAAAACTAAGAGCGTTTTTGAAGAAACTAGACCCAGTGACTATTGTTAACAAATTTAATAGAAATCTTGATATTGATATTTTATCGTCGAAACGTTGTAAAGGAAGTGAAGTGAATGATAAAAAACAGAAATTAAGGCAAATCTTTGCCGAAATTCTTGACACTATAAATAATAATTAAATACATTTTCTGTCACAGAAAATTTACACATTTTTGACTTGCTTAAGGGTGCCCAGTAGCAGACCGAAAAATGAGCTAAATAGAATTTCATTTTACGGGCGTAATTTCAACAAAAAGATCGACATTTCAATTGATAGATTATGTCTAAATCTCAGGGGAAGACACAATATTTTTTAAAATAAGTGATTGTTTAGTGTTTAATTAATCGTTCATTCTTCGAAGGAAATTGCATTTTTAGACGAGGAGAGAGCATTTTTCGCTTCAACTTTTATATCAGTGCAAAGACAACATTGAGCACTATGGGGAAGACCCCGTCATTTTTGTTTAAAATTTATATTTATCAAAATATTTACTTTTTAAAAAAATACTGAATAATGAAAATAAAGTGAAACTAGGCAACCCTATTTACAAAGATCCGTTTCAATAAATGGCTGAGTTTTACACAGCAGGGAGCCTTGCCGACCCACCCTTTCAGGTAATCAGTTCAGGTATTTTAGGTCATAAAACTCATAAATACTCTTAGCTGACCAATATTGTTGAAACTCTTTTACAAGTTGACTTCTTTCATTGCTGACATAATTTGATTTAAAAGTATGGAAATTTTTATAATTTTATACATTCTACTAAAATATTTTCTTTCAAAAAATTATTCAAATATTTTTTATTAATCTGTCATTTTATATATTCATCAATACACAAAACTGACAAGATTTAGATTCTCATCACTTCACTAACCACTTATTTACCCGAACAATCATATTTATCTAAATTTAATTTTTTGATACTCTTTTCCGCACCACTATGAAGTAGAGTATTATAGGCACATTTTTTACGTGATATCTCCAGTAAATCTATTCCAATATTGCTATTTATTCCTGTGTGTGTTTATACTAGAAGAGCAAAAGATTTATATGAACTATCCATGACGCGAATGCAAATAAAAATTTTTAATTGTACAATTTTTTCTTTACAATTTGTCTAATGGGTTGACTTGTTTAATAACGAGAATCTACTCTCTCCGGAAGTAAGGCATATAAAAAAATTTTTCTAGGGCTCTATCATATTATTTTCCCAAAATTTATCATCTCGTTGAATTAAGCATTATTTAAATTGGACATTTTATATATTTCTACCATAGCGTTTGTGTTTATTAAGCCGTCTGGCGATGCCGCTAAAAATGTACAAACCGCATTGTCTTATTGTCAGTTTGGTGTTACTGCAAAATGCTTCAGTTGCCCTTGCTTCATTTTCTATGCAAAGATTTTGGGAGAGTACATGCTGAACTAGATTTGCAGGGATGTAAAATGTTTTTCACAGTACAGTCGGATTAGCCGTGTTACTTGTTCTCTCATTTTGCAAATTTTACCAAAATTATGTTCCTTTAGTCTAGAGGATTTTTCTGCACACCATTTTGGATTATTGCGTTTGCCAATTGTGTTTTGTTCGATTAAAAAGACATCAACGTTTGAAAGTTTTTTGAGAAATACTTTTTGCGCTGTGACATATCAGGTATTTCAACTGCCTCGTTAGATACATCGTCGCCCGAGAACTTGTATGATCCACAGACCGGAGCGTGCTCAGGCCAATGTCGACTCTATAAGCCTCCAGAAATTCTGCGGGAAATAGTTATTATTTAGATGCTTTTGTTTACACACATCTCACATGTTTCACTCGATTTTGACACCCAACTATTTTTTTGTTTAACTAAGAATTAATACTTTCATTGCGTTTGATACTAACGTCCTAAATTAGCAATACGAGTGGAACAGTAATCATGCAATAGATTTTTTTGGGAAAGTACAGTTATTTTTATGTTTTAGCAGCAATGCGTTCTACTTTCTATTAATTTTCACATATTTTTAGTCACAATTTTGGTAGATATTTTTTACTTTTATTTTTAGCAATAATAAATAGTCCAAACATGAAAAAATAAAAAATTAAAATTGGAAAATCTAAAATTTAGAAATCGAGAAATTGAAGAATCGTATAATTGAAAAATCTAAACATCGAAAAACTTGAAAATCGAAAAATTAAAAAAAAAAATGGAAAATCAGAAATTTAATGAATTCCGAAAATTGAAAAACTGAAATATGCATAGAAGAACTGAAAACTCGACAAATCGAAAAATGTAGAATTTTAAAAATTGAAAAATTAAAATATCGAAAAGTTGAAAAATTGCGAAATCGTGTCATTGAAACATCGGACAATTGAGAAATCGAAAAATAAAAAAATGGAGAAATCGAAAATTTGAAGAATGGAAAAATTGAGAATGTCAAAAATTGAAATACTAAAAAATTGAAACATCAAAAGTTGAAAAACGAAAAACCGAAAAGCCGAAAAATCTCGATAATGTATTTACAAACCACAAGTCCAAGGTTATGCTACTAAAAAATTGATAACGTCATCTCAAAATTTTGCCGAATAAATTGTACTTAAATGTGCAAAATGTGATGAGTTTTTACTTGTAATTTATCATTGCATTCATATTTTTTAGATTAGCTTTTATACCTAGGTGGCTCAAAAAAATTAATGAATGAGTCAGTTTAGTCTATTGATTAAATCAGGAACGACTCACTCCATTTTCCCAGGAATTTTGGGAATACTGTTATTTTTAGTCTAATCCACATTGATTTAGGTGTCCTTGCAAAATATTGATGATATCATCACAAAATTGTGTACCTAAAGTAAAAATTTAACTCGAAAATGCTGGATATGTTTCATTGTAATTTAGGTGCGAGGGAAGTTCTGTCGAAACAACTTTCCACCAATTTTTTTGCTGTTATATCTGAACATAAACAGTTTATTTTATATATTTTTAAAACATTATAAAGAAAATAAAAAGTTGTGTTAGTCTGAACCTTGTGGGTTTCTCAATCTATTTTCCGCAACATTTTAAACTTTCAACTCAATTTCTTTCAAAATACATACAAATGGATTTCGATGGTTATTTCGTTCTTTGCTTTGTCTCGTCAACTTCATTTATAATTTTTTTTACTTGAAAAATAACTTTCGGTTTAAACATCGCAAACACAGAACAAAAATGCTTAGTTCTGAAAATATATAAGTTTTTAACAAAGCTTATAGTATGTTTTCACGTAATTAGAGTACCTCTTCAAGAGGTGAGAATATATAAAACAACATTTTTTTATGATTTTTGGAAATTGGGTCATTAAATATTAGGCACATTTCTGTCTGCTAAAGAGTGGTAATTAATAAGTCAAGTGTTAAATTCGGCACAACGGGATTGAGACAGGTTTATTAGAAACAGATACGACTAAATTTCCGGCCGCTTAGATTTATTCAGTGAATTTACTTAATTACTTATTTATTTAGTTACGTTAAGGGCTAATTTTGTATTAAATTTTAAAGTTCCTTTGGCCTTAAGACTGTTGCAACACTGAGACGAACGAGAAATAACCTCCTTTAATTCCTCGTAAGGATCAACCGTAAAAGGACAGCTTGTAGTGATTACGCAAAATCTTGCTGCTTTATTTTTCATTATTTGTATGTGTATAAATGTGTATAGGTATCTGAGAGCCTTATTTATTTTTTCGACCTATTTTATGTTTTAAAATTATTAAAGCACCCACTTACAGACCTCGACACAAGTTGTCTCCTGCTTTTTTAGGAAGAGCTTTAATGTGTTAAATACACCAAGCCCTCCTACAACTTTCTTTTTGAGTTCTCTTCCTGTATCAGTTAGTTCGTGTTGGGTTTTCGTAAAGTGAAGTTCAAAAGTGCAAAAGTGTTTTAA